TTAATTCTGTCAGTCCAGAGTGAATATCATTTATTAAWTGGTGTAACCTTAGGAACTGCAGCTGCCCACAGCATTGCTGAGCCCCTATTCTCCAGTCAGGGGAAAACCATTTCACTGCAAAGARGATCCAGACTCAGCTTCTGCATTTCACTTTCCTCAGAGCTTAAGCCCTTCAGGGTGTCTGTGGGGTTCAGGTACTCTTTAATGATACTGTAAGGCCTACCATAACAGAAACTGTGAATGTGGAACCCAATATTGTCTCCTAAAAGACTTTAAGGAAGCTGCATATGTTTGCTTGTGACCATTTTGGAAGGGATCTCTATCCTTCCCCTTTACACAATCGAAAAGCTCAGGGAAACTAAGACGATGAAAAGATGTATGTGGACATCTTCTTTTTTCCTTCAGTGAAAGTGATTGTGAAATCAGTGTGACACATTACTGYAAAAAATGTTCTCAGAGCTGTAATAAACACTTTACATGAGAACTTATGAGAGAAGAAATGTAAGAACTCGCAGGAAAACCTGTATTTTATTAGTTCTGTCTATYTGCAAATTAAAAAATTCAGGGTTGTTCAAATTTGTTGTGTAGTTTGTAATTACTGTTTCTGATAGAATATTCCTTATCAAAAATTGACCTTTACAGTRGAGAAGACATSAGGAACAGTAAACCAAGWGCCATCAAACTTTTATTGTAGTTTYTACATAGAMTTTTTGTTTTTATTAAGTCGTCCCARGAGAATCAAACATGAACATTGTGGTGTGTTATGGATATCCCTATATTTAGAACAGCAGTATGAAAACATTTCCCTAAATACTTTTTGTGCCTCTTAACGTGGAGGGCATTTCTTCTCTTCCCTTAAAACAAACAATGGTAACCAGAAACACAGAAACAACAAAATCCGAAAYACAAGAATCTGAACATTGTTACCTTTAAGTACTAAATGTTACAACTTTGGAAGTTCTGATATATTAATGTTTTTCAGAAATCAACCAACAATTGTTTAACCTTGCCAATGAAAAATGACTGTTGATAACAYAGAGATAACAGAAGTGACTCACAAAGCCAACGTTGTTTTTGTTTTGCAGTGTTGTCCGCACATTTTCGGGTCTGCGAGCCATACACGGACTACAAAGGTCGCTACCACTTTGGTTTTCACTGCCCCCGTCTTTCTGACAATAAATCTTACATCTTTTGCTGTCACCATAACAACACAGTGTTTAAATATTGCTGCAATGAGACAGAATTTCAGACTGTTATGCAGATGAACTTAACAGGGAATGCAGATGGATATATGCATAAGTAAGTAAATGAGTTTTAAAGTACTCTTCACCAAACTGTTCCTGGTCTAATAACATAGTCTGAGGTGCACTTAATGATAGAATAATTGCATATACAGAAAAACATTACTAAAAGGTTTTTGCTGTTGCAGAACTCCTAAAAGAAAGAATATTTCAGTTTTGCTTGCTTTGCTTTGACRTGGGCTGTAAACATTGCAAGGAGAGTAAAAGTTGCATATAAATGTGACAAATAAAAAGTTGCATATRAAAATTAGTAAAGTCTTTTCCCTGACCCTAACTTGATCCAAACTATGTTTAAATGTGCATCAGTAAAAATAAACCCCCAAGCTGTTTGTAGGTGAGAGAGGGAGTCAGTTGACATTTTCCGTATCAATCCGAATGCACTGTTTGGAACCCCTGATGTTTTGAATCTAAATCTCTCGTAACAAATCACTGGCCTTGGGAAACAGAAAGTATTTGCTTTTATACTGACATTGTGTGGTCTCTGTGCCTGTTACCTGGGATACTTCCCTGCTCTGCTGAGGGCTGTCCCTTGAGATAAATGTCAGTAAGTTTTTTTAATAAAGAACTGGGAACTAGCAAGTAGATCTTTGTTGCTGATTACCTATTTAGAGACAAAATCTTTACTTGCGGTCAGTTTCCTATTTGTTATTTGACATTCTGGCCCTGCTAATCTGCTGTGATTTCTCTTGGTCTAATCCCCAAGGTCAAATTCTGATCAATCTGCTTTCTCTGCCATTTCATTCTGGGATTCAGCTCCTCCAGGACAAGGAAGGGGCAGATTAAAGACAAGTGGAATCGGGGTGTATGGATTTCCGTTTGCAGCAGGGATTTTGGTGTTTTTTGTGATGCCACAGTCACTTGGGGTGCAGTGTTCATTCCTGGGGAAGCAGGTGCAGGGCTGTTAGGGGATGCCGGTGCTGAGTACTGATGCTGGCTGCTGTGACTCACTGTGTGCAGCCCTGCTCAGCTCGTGGAGTCAGCAGAGTTTTCCCTTCCTTAGCAGCCACTCCTCACACAACCTGTCCAGAGAAACTTGAGTCTTGCGTAGGTGTAGAGGTTGTGCTCTCTAAATTTACAGGTGTTAAAGTGTCAATCGCCTACAAAGACAGATAAAAATAGACTACCCATAGAAGACAGCTTTAAATCAATGTGGATCTACACTGTCTTGTTACTTTATGGGCAGTTGTGTCCTTCAGGTGAAATTGCCTTGACTTTGTAGTGCATCTGGGAACATTGTGAGAATGTATCACACAAAGCACTGGGAAGATACTTCAATACCAAACCCATTAAAGAGCACCCCCTTTCTCCCCTCTTTGTGCAGTCCAGACAAYCCAGCAACTGGTGGCACCTTCACTYGRGGCTCCCCAGCTTTGGCAACATAAATAGCTCCAGGCAACCTGGTGGAGTTCACAGCCCAGTGCTCCTACACAGTGTGTATTCTACATATGCTAAAATATTGGCATGTACTGCCCCTGTGTGTCCTGGGGTGACCCTCAGCAGCCCTGGATGTCAGCCTGCATGGAGAGAGCTCCTCACAGGACTCTCAGAACAGAAGGGCTGTGCATGTAGTCACAGACAGAGCCACCATCTGCTGCACACTTGAAAACAGCCTCCAGAATGGACTCGTGTGGCTGTTGCCCCCACACTTTTCCAGGTTCTTTGTCCTGCCCACAGCAAATTGGCTTTTATTTCTTCTCCTGCTGTGCTGCAAACCCTGCACCAACGCTACTGATGCCCCTGTCTCACAGAGGTTGAGATGTTGCCATCCACAGGCAGTTCAGACAAGCAGAAAACCGGTGCTGGAGGTGCCTCAGCAGCAACTACCACAGCCGTGTAGTCATGGCCATGGTAAGGGTCTTCTGCCCTTCCTTTCACCAGCAGCCTGAAATGTAGAGGGCAGCCAGCCCTTTCCAAGGCAGAGGAACAGGTCCAGGCTGGTTGCAAAGATGCCCCGGGACACAGAACATTTCTCTGCCTCCAGCATTGTTTGCCCACTCACATCTGCACGTGTGCCTACATCCCCAGAAATAAATCCAGGGCTCTTCATGTCACGGGGCTGTTGTGTATGTTAGCAGTTCCTCAGTGGGAAAAAAGAAAAAAAAGGAGTTTGGTATTCTATGGACTACAGCATTTATTTTGATTAGAATATTTACAGCAACAGGTATTATATTAGTTTTCATTTAGATTTTTTTTTTAAAGAGTCACCTTATTCAGTTGTGTGGTTTTTGTTGGTAAGATTCATGGTTGAGAATCTGCAGTCAGTTTACCATTTGGTCCAGGATTTCCTGGAGACATCAGCTGTGTGTGAACTTCTGCAAAGGTATGTGGTATCATACTTAATACAATAAAAAAAAACTCTGGAGTTGTGCCTCAGAGAAGTGCAAGAATGGAAGTGGTATGGCCTTGTTCCTCAAACATCCCTTGTAATGAATCTGTCAGGACCAGGAAAATGAAGAGATGCYGCTTCCTACGTAAAACTCCAGCGATGCAGTGAGACAGACAGGAGAGAGATCTCCTCACCCTGAACTCAGTGACATTGGCAGAAAACTTCCTGGTATTTTTAGAAGGAGCAGAAAGAAGTGAACTCTATGTGCCTAATTAAAAACATTGCAAAAAGCTTCTTACTTAATACTCTGACTTTATTTAACRTACACGATAATTTGGATTCTAATACATCCAGGGTTCAGTTACAGTGACAAAGTAAGGTCTTTGTTTAGATTTAATTTCACACACCACTGAAAAAAATTATGATGAAACCTATTGTACTGTGGCTGGGGAGAATAAGATATGGGAATGGCAGTGAACTGAAAAAAAAAGGATTATAGTTTTCAGGGAAGAGTGATCCAGTATTATTGCTTCATTTATTTCAATATTATTATTTGGTTTATTTTTCCCCTTAGCGATCCTTGTGATCACCAAAACAAATTTCTTGTTTTATGATACCGTTGAGGGAAAAAGTTAAYGATGTGGCCTTGTGACTTCTTCGTTATGGCACAGATGAAAAGGCACATTTGTCTTCCACAGTCTACAATACAACTATAGCCATGTTTGTTTACTTTTTTCCATTCCTGTAACAGTATTTTTGTGTTTTTGTAAGAGCAAAATATGGGAGTATTATACCTTCACAATCATGCAGATTAATCATTCTGTAATATTTTTGAATGTGAATAATGCATTTAGTACTGAAAATAGAAATATAAAGARTAGAAATAGAAATTATGTCTGACAGGAGAAGTTTTGTTGTCCAAAATATTTTGCTTTAGAACCACCTAAGAAATTAACTATTTTCAAAAATAGTATTCACTTGAATGTAGTTTATCCAGTTTTCATAACTCAGAATTTCTCTTTGCATGCTTTGGTGGATTATCAGTAGTATTGCCATGATAGGGGTCCTTAATCTGATACTGGAACAATGTTCTGGCAGTCTGTAGTGCATCCTAGTGTTTTTCCTAATTTCTTAGTCCAGTTTTTCARAGTTGAATGGCTTTTGCACACCTGATTACAACATTGGCACCCAAAGCAGTTTGAGAATAGAATAGCACCATCTTTCTCCAGGTTCTGCATGTCCCCTGCAGAAATGGCATTTGCTTAAATAGCACTCAGAATGTCATGTTTACAAGAAACCAGGGGAAAAAGAAAAATCTATCCCACCACCAACTGTTGCAAAAATATGTAATTTGGCAGAGAAGACCTCTTAGGTACGACAGTAACAGATTCCTGAGGAAAACTCAGGATTGGACAAAGGTCTGGAGATAATTACAAGAACAAAATAGGGGGGGAAAAGATCTCATTTAAAGTGTACATGCAAAAACTGCACTGATWTCCTCAGTGGTAAAAGTACCAAGGCATTTTCCAGGATGTAACCTTTCATTTCCTAGGGGCAACACTTACTGTTCGTACTTCAAGTACCAGCCCCTTTTAAGGAGAATAGGGGAAGAAACAGTTTCTGTGACCATCTGTCCACATTTAAACTCTTCAATTATGGAATTCAGCCCACAATTGTTTTGTTTCGTTGCTTTTTCAAACCTGAATTCCCAAATGAATTATTTTTTGTTCATGTACTGCCCATAATACCCAAGAAAATCTACTAAAAAGATACAGACTGATTGTAACCAGCTTGTCATTTGYCTCAAAAAGTGAATTAATTAGATGGGTGTAACTCGATCTACCCTGTAGTGGAAGAAAACGTATCATTTGAGTCTTGGCAAATTTGGAATCTGTTCACACTTTATTTTTATAAAAATGAAACTTCTGCCCAGAAGAACAGGAAAACCAGATTGCAAGAATAAACTTTGCCAATTAAATCATTCAGGTCAATGTAATGAGAGCGAATCCTAGAAGTTTTTGGATTCTGAGTTCTCTTTTGTGTTTCTGACCTTACTGTTATTACTGTAAATAAGATTGTTTTCTAATGAGGACATCTTAATTTGCAGGGCAGTTTTAATTTTTACTAAAATCAGCRGCAGTCAGAAAAATTAACATTTTCTACCATCTTAATAGTTGGAGAAACAGAAAACATCGAATAGGGGATATATTTCTGTGTACTAGATGTACTATTTACTATTTTTGCTTGTGATTTTTTACAAGGCCCTTTTGATAGTGMTGTTGTCCCATTGTCCATTTATGAAAACAAAGCTGTCCTTCATTTTTGTATTTGTGAGAAGCAGATGTTTATTTAGGAGGAGCAGGGTTATGGCATGATCAAAAAACTGCTGCTTTAAATTGGACCACTCAAAATTGCTAATTGATTTTTGCTAATGAGAATTTTGGTGGATGAAATTAAGTACCTAAAACACAAACTCTTTTGAGTTAACTATGAGAAACATTCCTGCCTCTCACATTGTTTCCGAAACAAACACTAACATGTTTTCCAGCATTTCCATTCTTAGTGTGAGTCAAATGCAGCTCACCTGTATGCAAACCTGGATGCAAAATTGGTATCAGTAATGAGGAGGAAAGGGATTTGTTCAAGTGCATTTCTTCCTGACTTTTCCAGACTTTGCTTCCCTTTTACTTATATTAACAGAAAATAGAAGAGTTTACCCAAATAGGAATAAATCCACTGGAAATCAAGAGTGGCACTGCTGAGAGGCCTGGGTTAACCAGATCCTGTTCTGCTTTCAAGTGCCTGAACTGCAGATTTTAGTGYATTACTGAGGTTTACCTCTGTTGTGTGAAGTTAGGCTTGCATGTCTAAGTCTTTAGTGGAGGCAAAGACTCTGGAGTTAA